GTCTTAGTGTCGTTGAGTCGGTCAATTGTGATCAAGACCGACTCAACCTTTGTAGCTTGGCTCTTTAGGCTAAACTTCTCTTATTGCATCTCATACATCATAAAAATGTTTTTCAAACATGTTTAAAACATTAAAAACACTTGGTGTTTGCCCAAACAAAAAACCAAGCCATCCGGCGTTCGGCTTTTAGAAACCAGCGTTCAGCATTCGCTTTTCGGTGTTGGTTTTTGGCGTCCGAACCAACCAAGTGGTTTTCAACATTTTATGATTGGGTTTTACTACTTGGCTTGTTTAAAAAGTTCTCCAACAAAAACACCTTGAAAACCACCTTTCGTTTTTGGTCATTTGGCAAAAACCACGTAAAACGGCATAAACTTGGCTAGCCGTGGTTTTTACCCAAATGACGTGGTTTTTAAAGTGTCTCACTTGATTTCTTAGCCAAATACATCAAATAAGTGTTTTAAACACTTTGTTTTTATTTTGAAGAACTTCAGAGTTTTCAGTCGGTTTTTGCATCGGTTGGCTAGGCCGTGGTTCAGGCAAAAACCATGGGTGTTTGACTAACCACCCACCCAGCGATGGGAAGAACTACCCATCGATAGGTAAGCGGTCCTCTAGCCCAACCAAGTTCCAGAACCATGCCAAACAGCGATGGGAAGTTCTACCCATCGCTGTTTAAGCCTTGGTCCAACATCAACACAAGGTAGAACGACCTTCCCCAGCGATGGGGACTTTACCCCATCGATGGGAACCCAGCGGTGGTAAGCATAAACCATCGATGGGAAGGAATGACCGTTGGAAGCCACAACTTCAGCAGCAAACAATCCTCACACTAAGAAGCACACCGAAGCAAGGAATCCCTGGTCCAAGCAGCCCCCCTCCACACAAGCAAGCAACAACCTGCCACAAAGGAAAAGCTACGCTGCAGCTATTATTGCTTCTTCACATGAGGTACCAATTCCCACCATCCCCATCAAACCTATTGAAAAACTCAAAGGACTACCTTGTGTGTCCTTCTCTGATGAAGAAGTGAACCTACTGGCCTCAAGATTTTCTAAGGCACTGTTAGGATCTTTCTTCTTTGGAAGACCAAGTCTAGATTATGTGAGACATAATTTAGAGAGAATTGGCTTTTCAGCTTTTTCTGTTACTCTCATTGATTCTACACACATCCTTCTTAACTTCTCCTCCCAAGAGGAATACCACAGATGCTTCAAAAGAAGGGAGTGGGTTTTAGGCCCCTTTAAAATGTTGATATCCAAATGGACACCAACTTTTGATCCCAATTTTGAATCCCCCATTATGCCAGTTTGGATAGGAATCAAAGACTTACCTATTCACCTACACTCTTCAGACTCCCTTCTTAGAATTGGCCAAGTCTTTGGTAAACCTATCAAGCTTGATGCTACTACACAGAATTTTGGCAGACCTTCATTGGCCAGAATTTGTGTTGANTTCCAGGGACAGTTGCTGAGATCCATTTTGAATGTAGAATTTTGTAATTTGTGGTTGAGAGATGTCAACCTCAACACAAATTCTGGCCAATGAAGGTCTGCCAAAATTCTGTGTAGTAGCATCAAGCTTGATAGGTTTACCAAAGACTTGGCCAATTCTAAGAAGGGAGTCTGAAGAGTGTAGGTGAATAGGTAAGTCTTTGATTCCTATCCAAAATGGCATAATGGGGGATTCAAAATTGGGATCAAAAGTTGGTGTCCATTTGGATATCAACATTTTAAAGGGGCCTAAAACCCACTCCCTTCTTTTGAAGCATCTGTGGTATTCCTCTTGGGAGGAGAAGTTAAGAAGGATGTGTGTAGAATCAATGAGAGTAACAGAAAAAGCTGAAAAGCCAATTCTCTCTAAATTATGTCTCACATAATCTAGACTTGGTCTTCCAAAGAAGAAAGATCCTAACAGTGCCTTAGAAAATCTTGAGGCCAGTAGGTTCACTTCTTCATCAGAGAAGGACACACAAGGTAGTCCTTTGAGTTTTTCAATAGGTTTGATGGGGATGGTGGGAATTGGTACCTCATGTGAAGAAGCAATAATAGCTGCAGCGTAGCTTTTCCTTTGTGGCAGGTTGTTGCTTGCTTGTGTGGAGGGGGGCTGCTTGGACCAGGGATTCCTTGCTTCGGTGTGCTTCTTAGTGTGAGGATTGTTTGCTGCTGAAGTTGTGGCTTCCAACGGTCATTCCTTCCCATCGATGGTTTATGCTTACCACCGCTGGGTTCCCATCGATGGGGTAAAGTCCCCATCGCTGGGGAAGGTCGTTCTACCTTGTGTTGATGTTGGACCAAGGCTTAAACAGCGATGGGTAGAACTTCCCATCGCTGTTTGGCATGGTTCTGGAACTTGGTTGGGCTAGAGGACCGCTTACCTATCGATGGGTAGTTCTTCCCATCGCTGGGTGGGTGGTTAGTCAAACACCCATGGTTTTTGCCTGAACCACGGCCTAGCCAACCGATGCAAAAACCGACTGAAAACTCTGAAGTTCTTCAAAATAAAAACAAAGTGTTTAAAACACTTATTTGATGTATTTGGCTAAGAAATCAAGTGAGACACTTTAAAAACCACGTCATTTGGGTAAAAACCACGGCTAGCCAAGTTTATGCCGTTTTACGTGGTTTTTGCCAAATGACCAAAAACGAAAGGTGGTTTTCAAGGTGTTTTTGTTGGAGAACTTTTTAAACAAGCCAAGTAGTAAAACCCAATCATAAAATGTTGAAAACCACTTGGTTGGTTCGGACGCCAAAAACCAACACCGAAAAGCGAATGCTGAACGCTGGTTTCTAAAAGCCGAACGCCGGATGGCTTGGTTTTTTGTTTGGGCAAACACCAAGTGTTTTTAATGTTTTAAACATGTTTGAAAAACATTTTTATGATGTATGAGATGCAATAAGAGAAGTTTAGCCTAAAGAGCCAAGCTACAAAGGTTGAGTCGGTCTTGATCACAATTGACCGACTCAACGACACTAAGACTGCGATCTTCGTTCTTGGTCTTCTATTAGATCTTGTTCTCATCTTCGTTCTTCGCCTTGTATGTTGAATGTTTTATCTTGTTCACGACGGTTTGGCATTATCAAAACCTGTCATAAAAACAAATACATCTTTAGTACGAAAACGTGACAAACCCGTGTTTCAACACACACACACACACACACACACACACATATATATCTATATATATATATATATATATATATAAAACGGAATATTTATATATATTATTAGATTCCAAAATATTTTATATAACTATTTTACAAATATACAAATTTTTTATCATCCCATTGTTTAATCCTACTCTTTAAATTATTCAGAGTGTGTGACCTGTATAGACACTTATAAAGCTGGCCATAGTATTGGCTCTGCACCAATACCATAACCAATAAGTGGTATCTAACAACACAGAAAATACCTTTCCTTCGTACGACCAAGGGAAACAAGCTTCCCTTAATGTGTATACAACACTAAACACTCAAGAACAAGACTCTCTTTAAGAGTAGATAATGAGTAAACTAAGTACGCTAGAGAACAAATCAAACTTCACACAAATTGGCTCTAGAAAGCTATTGAAAATGTTGTTGTTTGAATGCAATGAAAATATGAATATTGTGAAGTGATATGATGATAAAAGCAAACCAAAACACCCCTTTTTATAGTGCCAAAATAGGGTCCAACGGACCAATGCAATAAAGGGGTGATTGGCTTGATATATGGCATTGAATAAATTTGGGATCTGCAGGATATTGGCTTCCCATCGATGTTTGGAACTTACCCATCGCTGGTAAGCCAATTTTCCTTCAGTTTTGAAGCCAACGGTTACCTACCCATCGATGGGTACAAGCTTCCCATCGCTGGGTGAGAGGTTGACTTCCAAACAAGGAAAGAATCAACCTTAAATGACTTCCAACGGTCATGCCTTCCCATCGATTGTTTATGCTTACCACCGCTGGGTTCCCATCGATGGGGTAAAGTCCCCATCGCTGGGTAAGGTCGTTCTGCCTTGTGTTGATGTTGGACCAAGGCTTAAACAGCGATGGGTAGAACATCCCATCGCTATTTGGCATGGTTCTGGAAGTTGGTTTGGCTAAGGGACTGCTTGCCCATCGATGGGAAGTTCTTCCCATTGCTGGGAGGGTGGTTAGCCAAAAACCTATGGTTTTTGCCTTAACCACGTCCTAGCCAACCGATGCAAAAACCGACCCAAAAATCCATAGTTCTCCAAAAGAAAAACCAAGTGTTTAAAACACTTATTTGATGTATTTGTCTAAGAAGTCAAGTGATACGTTTTAAAAACCACGTCATTTGGGTAAAAACCACAGCTAGCCAAGTTTATGCCGTTTTACGTGGTTTTTGCCAAACGACCAAAACCGAAAGGTGTTTTTTAAGATGTTTTTGTGGGAGAACTGTTTAAACATGCCAAAAAGTAAAAACCAATCATAAATTGTTGAAAACCACTTGGTTGGTTCGGACGCCAAAAACCAACACCGAAAACCGAATGCCGGACGCCGGTTTCTGAAAGCCGAACGCCGGATGGCTTGGTTTTTGGTTTGGGCGAACACCAAGTGTTTTTAATGTCTTGAACAAGTTTTAAAAACATTTTTATGATATTATAAATGCAAATATAGATTTTAGCCTAAAGAGCCAAGGCGTGAGGTTTTGGTCGGTCTTGATCACAATTGTGACCGACTCAACAATACTAAGACCACGGTCTTCGTTCTTGGTCTTATTTTAGCTCTTGTTCTTATCTTCGTTCTTCGCCTTGTATATTCAATGACTTGTCTCATTCTCGGCGGTTTGGCATTATCAAAACCTGTCATAAAGACGATCACGGCTTTAGTACAAAAACGTGACAAACCCGTGTTTCAACAATTTCCCCGTTTTTGATAATGGCAAACAAGACGAGGTTATGCATAGGAGGATTTAAAAAAATATCCCCCCTTAATAAATATAATTTTATTTTTAACAAAGTGTTTGAGAGAAAAAAAAATTCTCCCTCAATTAATGCATAACCTTTATATCTTCCCCCTTTTGTCATTAACAAAAAGATTTAAAAATAATTTTTATTCATTAAAAGGGAAATGCGGAATACAACGGAATGAAAATAATTAAAAAAATACAATCATATTAAAAGAAAGAAGATTCTAGGAGTCAGTGTCGGCGTCCTCGTCGTCGTCCTCGACGTCCATGGGATCGCTGTCGACCGCATCTTCAAAGTCGGCCTCGTCGGGGGAGGAGGACGGAGCGTAGGAGTCGTCGTCCTCATCCTCGCCTTCAAAGTTTTGGCTGAGAATGGTGCTGTCGAAAGGTGGCGGAACGTAGTTGATGCCACGGAAGTATGCCATCATGTCGTGGTGTTGGCATTGCAACGTCCAGTCCATCCGCTCGATTGACTGCCCATGTCATCCACTGTGAGGGTTAGCCGATTCAGGGTATCGGCTATGGATTCCAAAGAGGCCTTGGCGGGAGAGGGGGCTGGTGCACGACTTGGGCCTGCGCCGTCTCTGTTTCCAGACTTCTTCCGGAAGGTGCTGTCGGTGATCATCCAAACCTTCGTCATCTTCGTGTCTGGCCCGACGATGTGGATATCGGCGGAGACGATGATGTCCATGATGAGGAAGGCGTACGGCAAGCTCCGCTCGGTGGCGAGTGAGGCGCAATCCGCCATGTGTATCATGACAAATTTTGCCCAATTGATGGAGGCGCCGTGGATGATTGCATGAATCGCCTTCAAATCCTTGTTGAAGAGCGAGGTATGGCTGCTGTCCTGGGGGCGAAGAATCCGAGTGATGATGAAGAGGAGGAGGCGCTTGTCCGGTGGAGCTGAGTGAATCGTCGGCTCGCTGGTGATCCCAAACTCACGAATGAAGATCGCCTCGTTGTTGAGGATCCAATCGTCGCCACCGTACGTCGCGATGTCGTCACCGCGGATGGGCAGCCCTGTGATCCGTGCAAAGGTAGGCAAATCAATCTCTACGTCGTAGAGATTGATGCTGCTGCGGATGGTGTCCCCGTCACGGCGGAGATTGGAGTAGAAGGCCCGGACAAAGGCGGGATTGTAAGACTGACGACTCCTGGAGACGAACGACCATAAACCCGACGCTTGAAGCTGATTGTCGAGGTCGTGGTACCCCTTTTGTTGAGGGTATAGCTCGGGCACCACCCTGGGCGGAGAAATCGGGCGTTTGGCAAAGTGATTGAGGAAGCGCGTGAGTTCTTCCTCCGAGCCAAATTCGAGGAAGGATCCATCCAGGTACGGAAAGGGTTGAGGCGCAGAGGTTGTGGCCTCGGTAGGGCCTTTCTTCTTGGATGCCTTTAACTTTGATCTTCCTCCAGCCATAGTTGTGGCGTTTTTGAAGAAAAAAGGAGATGAAATATTGAGATTTGGATCAAGGAATGATATTATGATGTTAATGGTGTATTAGAATGAGCAAATATGAGGGATATATATAGGGAATGGGAGATTAGGCCGTTTGGATTCAAAAATATAGCTATTGGGCAATTAATGTGGTGCCCAATGGCTCTGAAATTTTGAAATGCAGATGCCTTCCCAGCGATGGGAAGGTCGCCACTGGAAAGCGAGGAAGAACCCAAGGCTGCCTTCCTAGCGATGTTTGGATTTTCCCATCGATGGGAAGGTGGCTTCTGGAAATTGACAAAGAAAAGAACATGGCCTCCCCAGCGATGTTAATACCATCCCATCGCTGGGTTGGTAGGTTTGAAAATCCGTTAAAAAAATTTTAAAAAAAATAGTGTCAAACACCCAGCGATGGGAGGAAGTTCCCATCGATGGGTAGGATGGTTCTGAAATTTTTTTTAATTTAAAGTCATTCACCCAGCGATGGTACAAAGTTACCATCGATGGGTAGTGGACTTCTGGAAATCCGTTAAAAAGTTTTAAAAAAATGGAGTCAATCACCCATCGATGGGAGGATGTTCCCCTCGATGGTAAGAGGGGTTCTGAAAAAAAATAAAATTCCCTCCCAGCGATATTATGAACCCACCCATCGCTGGTTCCCCCTGATTTCCAGATTTCTTCACTTCGAACCGTCCCTGCAAAAAAACAACGCTTTGGTACCCAGAATATGTCTATGGGCCCTTGGGGGTTAGTTAACCTTATTGCCCACACACACACCCAAAATTAGTTTCAATACGCCCACACACACACACTCACGCGATTAGATGATTGTTTAGGAGTTACCTTGCCCAACCCATCGTCTCGTGGTCGACGGGTTCCAATCTACCTAAACCGAGTGCCGATATCTCGGTGTGATTTGTGTCAGTTTCGGTAACGGAATGTGGACATTCTTCTTTTCGTCAAAGTAGAATAAATAATAAGGTTTCTTTTGTGCATTGTCCTGTGGAGATTGTTTATTATTCGAATATCCTTTTCCAAAGGATTTCTTTTTATTAGCACCAAATACGTTGTGTGTTTCATTGTAGGTGAAGTGCCTATGTCTGGTGAAACACACGGGAGCTATATGTCCTACCCTATTGCAATAATGGCGTACTACGTTTGGGTTGAACATATGCCTAGGTTTATAATAACTAGGGGGTCTAACCATATTCATCCTATTTTGCGAAAGCATTGGTTTTTGAAAATTCTCCCTTCTAGGTGTCCTAGCATTATTTTGTCTATTTGAAAAATTATTTTTATGCACAAATTCATTTTGATAATTTTTCTTAGGTTGTCTAACATGAACATTTTCATTCCTAGGTTTTTGTCTAGGTTGTCTAGTGTCCTTAAGTTGACTAGATTTTCTATTATCCTAATTTTTAAATTTCTTATGTTGAGCCTTAGGAGGTTGACTAGGTGTTTGCTCAGCGTTTCTTTCCTTAGATTCATTTTTATCAAAGCCTAGTCCTTCCTTAGAAAAATGCATGGTGTCAAAAATAAGTTAAGATCTTTGTGTGGGGTATTGAATTTCTTAACCGTACTCTCAAGTTTTGCAATCTTTTCTTTTAAAGCTTTACAAGATTCACATTCACTTGAAGAGCTTTCCGATTTGTCAGCTCTTCTTTTGCCATAAAATTTATTTTCTTGTTTTAGCTTTTCATTATCTTTTTCTAGTTTTTCAACATCATTTTCAAGAGTTAAAAGATTTTTCTTTAATGATTTGTTAATTTTAGAAGCGCTAACAAATTCATCATAAAGTTCATGAAGCGCTTCTCGCATTTCTTCAAAAGTGTAAGAGTCGGAAGAAATGGTACATACCTCTTGTTCATTGTCGGTTTGGTCTTCGTGTGCTATGAGACAGAGGTTGGCAGTTTCATCCTCGTCTTGGTCGGTTGACTCGTCGCCGGAGTCGCTACCCCAAGAGATGTATGCTCTTTGCTTTTTGAAGTTGCGAGTGTTCCTTCCGTTTCTCGGGCATTTGTTCTTGATGTGCCCGACTTCACCACATCCATGGCACACAGGGCCATCCTCAACCTTTTCTTTCTTTCTTAGAAGTTTGCAAAACTTCTTCATGACAAGCTTGACTTCATCATCATCGCTTGAGTCATTCATTGTCGGTTCTTTGGAGGCTTTTAATGCTATGCCTTTTCTCTGGTCATTCAAAGACGGGTTAAGTATAGTAGATTCATACGTTTTTAAGTTACCTCTTAAACCCTCGATGGTGACATTTGATGTGCCGATTGACTCATAGATGGCATCAACCTTAGATCGCCATTCGGATGTCAAGCTCCGTAGGATCTTTCGCACAAGATCCCTGTCGGTGTAGGTCTTCTTCAAAGCATGAAGATCGTTGACTATCTTGGAGAATCAGTCGAACATGTCGTCGATGTTTTCGTGCTCCTTCATTCTAAACATCTCATACTCTTGGGTGAGGAAGTCGATCTTGGCTTCACGTACTTGGTCCGTTCCTTCGTACGTCACCTCAAGTTTATCCCACATCTCCTTGGCGGTTGAGTAGCAAGAGATTTTGCGGTAGTCATCAGGATTTACGACACAATAAAGCATGTTTACTGCCTTTGCATAATTCTCGACCTTTTTGATGTCCTCCGCATCAAATTCGTCTTCGCTTTTGGGGATCAATTTGTCCTCGACTTTCTTCATCGGCACCTCTTCCCCGTTTTTAATAACCAACCATAATTGGAAGTTCGTGGAACGAATATAGATTCTCATTCGTTCTTTCCAATATGTATAATTGGTTCCATCAAAAAGAGGTGGCCGTGTGGTTGATTGTCCTAAACCTATTCCTGCATACAAATTTCTAGAAGAAAAACCCATGATCGCTTTTACTCTCAAACGGTTAAGTTTGGACGCGAGTTAGGCTCCGATACCAATTGTTAGAATAAGTGCCCTTCACTAAAGGGGGGGTGAATAGTGAGGCACGAGAGTGTTTATAAATTTTTGCGGAATAAAAATCGCAGGGATAAAGTAAAGAGCGGAATAAAAAAGCGTAAGGGAAGAACACACCAGCTGGTTCACCATAACTTGTGGCTAATCCAGCCTCCCGAGAGACTCTCTCAAGCTACACTAATTCCGTTAAGCTTGCTGGTGCTTAACAAACCGTTACACCTGAGAACTCGAGTCCCACGAGCCTCAATACACTTGCTCGGAGATACCGCACTCCAAGACTTCAACCCGAAGGAAAATACCTTTCCTTCGTACGACCAAGGGAAACAAGCTTCCCTTAATGTGTGTACAACACTAAACACTCAAGAAAAAGACTCTCTTTAAGAGTAGATAATGAGTAAACTAAGTACGCTAGAGAACAACTCAAACTTCACAGAAATTGGCTCTAGAAAGCTATTGAAAATAGGCTCAAACACCCCTTTTTATAGTGCCAAAATAGGCTCCAACGGACCAATGTATTAAAGGGGTGATTGGCTTGATTTATGGGATTGAATAAATTTGGGAGTTGCAGGATATTGGCTTCCCATCGATGTTTGGAACATACCCATCGCTGGTAAGCCAATTTTCCTTCAGTTTTGAAGCCAACGGTTACCTACCCATCGATGAGTACAAGCCTCTCATCGCTGGGTGGGAGGTTGACTTCCAAACAAGGAAAGAATCAACCTTAAATGACTTCCAACGGTCATGCCTTCCCATCGATGGTTTATCCTTACCATCGCTGGGTTCCCATCGATGGGGTAAAGTCCCCATCGCTGGGTAAGGTCGTTCTGCCTTGTGTTGATGTTGGACCAAGGCTTAAACAGCGATGGGTAGAACTTCCCATCGCAGTTTGGCATGGTTCTGGAAGTTGGTTTGGCTAAGGGACCGCTTGCCCATCGATGGGAAGTTCTTCCCATCGCTGGGTGGGTGGTTAGCCAAAAACCTATGGTTTTTGCCTTAACCACGGCCTAGCCAACCGATGCAAAAACCGACCGAAAAATCTGAAGTTCTCCAAAATAAAAACCAAGTCTTTAAAACACTTATTTGATGTATTTGTCTAAGAAGTCAAGTGAGACATTTTAAAAACCACGTCATTTGGGTAAAAACCACGGCTAGCCAAGTTTATGCCGTTTTACGTGGTTTTTGCCAAACGACCAAAACCGAAAGGTGGTTTTTAAGATGTTTTTGTTGGAGAACTATTTAAACATTCCAAAAAGTGAAAACCAATCATAAAATGTTGAAAAACACTTGGTTGGTTCGGACGCCAAAAACCAACACCGAAAACCGAATGCCGGACAACGGTTTCTGAAAGCCGAACGCCGGATGGCTTGGTTTTTGGTTTGGGAGAACACCAAGTGTTTTTAATGTCTTGAAAAAGTTTGAAAAAAATTTTTATGATATTATAAATGCAAAGATAGATTTTAGCCTAAAGAGCCAAGGCGTGAGGTTTGGGTCGGTCTTGATCACAATTGTGACCGACTCAACAATACTAAGACTACGGTCTTCGTTCTTGGTCTTTTTTTAGCTCTTGTTCTTATCTTCGTTCTTCGCCTTGTATATTCAATGACTTGTCTCGTTCTCAGCGGTTTGGCATTATCAAAACCTGTCATAAAGACGATCACGGCTTTAGTACAAAAACGTGACAAACCCGTGTTTCAACATGGAATACCCAAAACAAAGTCTATATACTATCCTTATTTCATATGATTTAGGACAATGTGTCGAAGCATGCGGGTTCACATATGCATAGAATGTAATACTTCAAGTCGAAGGATAGTTACACCCGTGGTCGCGCTAAAGATTCTTAGAGCATGAACTAAAAGTTCAAGCAACTATGAGACGATATCCTATTATTTCTAGATAATATCTACCCATGTGTGGATGCAAACACACCATCATTGACTATGAGACTAAGTCAAACATCCAACACACACTAGTCTCACATGCATTAACGATATCCTGCTCTCGTTAATACTCGACTATGGACATTAAGATAAATATTTATTTCAAGATGTTTGCCTCATCAGTAGAAAAATACTATCTGATAAACATTTTTAAATATGTGTAACGCTCTGTAACCCGGTCTAATAGAATTGATTAATTTAATTAATTAATTACTGTTCCGGACCGGGGTTGGGAAAATGAAAAGTTCTTAGAAAAATTATTTGATCATATCATTAATTTCGTCTTGAATGTCTTATTCCAGAAACGCAAATGGATTTCAATTCGGACCCGTTTGGGGGGAAAACGCGTACCGTTCAGGTCTGATTTTACATTATGGAGTAGAGTAAATAGTTGTAACCTCCATCCCATTCACACGTCACTCTAATAATGCTCACTTAAGTCCCCATTACTTGCTTCATTATTATTCTTATTTTAAAACCCCCATCCCATCCTTTTCCTCCTTCACTTTGTAACCCCCATATTCAACACACCACCACTCTCTCTTCCCTTTTCTCTTGATTCGGCCAAAGCAGCAAGAGCACCAAGGGGAATTCTGGTAGTAGACGCGGAGGAGGGAGAGAGGGAAGTGCACATGTGAAGCAGGCCGTTCGTTTGTTCGTCGGTTGTCCGTTCATTAGCACCATTCATTCATCTCGTTCCATCAATCCCTCCATTTAGAGGTGAGTAGTTGTCCCTCTAATTCTAGAACATTTAGTTATAATCTATGTCTTTATATTCATAGGAATATCGTACGCAACCTACGTAGAATCTATGCATGTTCGTAGGTTAACAATCAAACATACGAGAGTCCGTGTTATCAACTTACGAACTCGTTAATACAAGCATTTCGAAACTCCGTATATTCATGGAATACTTAACATGTAATCATAAACGTTCGTTCAAAGAAAACTCCCAACGTATTGATGATAACCAAACAGTCAAAATGGGAATCAGCGTGCCTTGGTAATCGATTTACAGAACGGAATAATCGACTATCAGGTCACGCTGAACTCCTCAGTTGATCCAGCATAGTGTGACAATCGATTAT